ACAGGACATACATTTTTTCCTGGTTTCTACCCATCCTATGAGATCTGGCAGGAAAGGCATATTCGAATGCACCTTTGGCTAAAAGGTGTTGTCTGATGGGACTTCAGAGAAGAGATTTTTTCTCTTCTGGTCCCCTGGAGCATCTTCTAACCTGAGATTAGATTAGATTAGATTCCCTCCAGGCTAGAAGGCTTTGAACAGTTCTGTGATTGCTGCCTGGGCATGTGATAGAAATCATTTCTTCCTGCTCTATGTTTTTTAACTCAATTTTAATAAGAGAGCGTGTGATGGTGTGCACTGCCCAGAGTCATGGGCAGAGATGGCCATAAAAACCAGAGAGATCAGATAGACCCTGTTTCCCCAAAAATAAGATCCAACCAGATAATAAGCCCTAGCATGATTTTTCAGGATCTTGTAATATAAGCTCTATCCCCAAAATAAGCCCCAGTTAAGATTGTCAGCCAGATGGATGCATTTAGTACTGTATTTCCCAAAAATAAGACCTAACCAGAAAATAAGCCCTAATGTGTCTTTTGGAGCAAAAACTAATATAAGACCCAGGGAAAAACTAATATAATTTTCAGGGAAACAGTAGATAGATGATAGATGATAGATAGACAGATATAGGATAAATGGTAGATATATTTATTTATTTATTATTTATTTATTAATTATATTTCTATACCGCCTTTCTCCCATAGGACTCAAGGCGGTGTACAGCCAAGAAAAATATAGACACACAAACATCATAAAGTTACTAATTAAAATTATTACTTTGTTTGGCCAATATGATAAGAAAAAGCAGGGATAGAGGGAAGGAGAGAGAGTATATCCTAAGTTTGGACAGAGAAATAATAAACAGTAGACTTAAGAAATGTAGAAAAATATAAGTTTCTGGCTAGACCTCTCTACAGAGACAAAAGTCTTTTTAAAGAGATGTTGCTTTTGTTTTTCAGTGTACCTGGATTTCCTGGTGATGCTATACAGTATATGTATCAATCAGGGGCTGTCTGGGTAGATGATACAAACCACTTGTTTACCAGCCTCTGACCGAAAATTTCATCCTCATTTTAGCTGCAGCAAAGAGATAAAGAACTCTGCATCTGACCAAAAGAACAAGGATGTTTATTGAGATGTAAGAATCCCTGTGGTCTGTCATTGGGAAGAAGCTTACATTCACAATAGCCCCCCAAGCAGTCAAGGGTATCATATAAGAGTTATGTTCCTCCATCTCTCTCCCTCTCCCTCTCCCCCCCTCTCTCTCCCCCTCCCTCCCCCCCCCCTCTCTCCCCCACACACAGTCTATCTCTTTCAAAGGGACAAACAAAAAGGCAGGAAGTGGGAGGGAAGTAATAACTATCCAGCCTCTTGTTTGGTGGGCTGGGTCGAGTAAAAGATGCTCACTGCTGAGTGTTTCCATCATTATGGATCATGTGCTGATGACACGTGAACTTGGCTGAATTGACTAAGGGATACTCACTGGGTGAGCCACACTTTGCAAACAAAGCTACTGAAAGACATTAGTGCGTAAAAGAGATTTTTGCAAGCTGCATACAATTTATTTCACAAGGAGGTTTTTTCAGGATTGTCATGGACACAACTTGGCACATTATTTATTTATGAATTATGAGGCCACAGGAGAATCAAAATGTTGCTTCTTTTTTATAACTCCGGTACTCTTAAATTAATTTAGATAAGGAATCGAGTAGGATGCAAAGTAGGATGCTAAAGCATTTTGCTTTGGGTATCTTGTGAATCCAATAGGATTGAAGATTAACATACTACATATAAAGTTTCCCAAATCTAACGCCTCCCAGTTGTTTGGACTCTGCTATAACTATAATTCCAAATTATCTAGATCAGGGGTGTCAAACATGCGGCCCACTAGCCGGATGCGTCACATGCTGGCCATGCCCACTCCCATTTTAACAAAGGGGGGAAAAATCACAATACATCACATGACAACAATGTGACAATGTGAGTTTGACACCCCTGATCTAGATAGCGCTAATTGAAAGACTGGCCTGTATGATGCTCTGCTTTCAAACATGCTTTAGTATTTTCAAGTGCAGTAACTCATCTTAACACCCACATTGTGACAGTAGCTATCTTGAATTTTACAATCTTTCAGAAATTTTGTCTCCTAAAAGATCAGATTCAACAAAATGGCAGGTGATAATTTTTTGCTAGGTGTCTTTCTACACTTGCTGGAAACAATTGCTTCTCTTAATCTACAGTTCCTTTGCCAAATAAAACTAGCATTCCTTGTGCTTGGTTCCCATTACTGTCTAAGTCCTATCATGGGAGTAAATTGTGGAGTCTATTGTAAGGGGAAGGAAAATCAGAATCGAGCATATATGAAGAATCTATTAGATCAAGCTTCATCTACTGTGGTACAGGTTATTCACTTATGACCATTTGTTTAGCAACTGTTCCAGAGGTTGGTTTCAGCAGGTTCTGACCAGTTCTGGAGAACCAGTAGCGGAAATTTTGAGTAGTTCAGAGAACCGGTAGTAAAAAGTCTGACTGGTCCCACCACCACCTATTCTCTGCCTCCCGAGTCCCAGCTGATCAGGAGGAAATGGGGATTTTGCAGTAACCTTCCCCTGGAGTGCAGAGGGAATGGAGATTTTACAGTATCCTTCCCCTGCCATGCCCACCAAGCCATACCACATTCACCAAACCATGCCACACCCACAAAGCCACACCCACAGAACTGGTAGTAAAAAATTTTGAAACCCACCACTGAACTGTTCCAATTACAACGGTGCTGAAAAAAGTGACTTACAACTGGTTCTCACTTTTATGACCATTACAACTTCACCATGGTCATGTTATTATGATTTGGGCACTTGCAACCATCACATATTTACAATGGTTGTAGCATCCTGTGATCACATGATTACCATCTGCAATCTTCCCAACCACCTTCCAACAGTTGGAAGGAAGTTGCAAATCTTGGTCATGTAATGTCTCAACTATCACAGATGGTTCATTTAATGACTGTGACAAAAAAGTTGTAAAGTCGGGCATGGTCACATGGTGCCTCACTTAATGACCACATCATTTAATGATGTGGCTGTAAATGAAGACTATCTGGATAGCAGTGACATTTGATTAGCTAAATGTTTCTGAGAAAGTCACATGCTGGACATGAAAGCAATCAGTGTAGGGGCCAAGATTTTGAGCTTTCTTGATGTATTTTTATACAAAATACAGAAATACAAAACAAGAGTCCTTGGACATTTAATCAGCAACTAGGGCCAGAATGCTTCCATTTAATTGGATCACATTCTGGTTAGAAAGAGAAATCAAGATCTTTGTAGCTTTTTCTTTGCTGTGATAGCTAAATTCTTAGCTTAGTTCTTTCTACGTGGCAGAGAGTGAAGTCTCCTAATGGCTTAAAATCCACATGTCAGTTTCATTTTAATTTTATACATGTAATTTATACATGCAAAGAGATGTTTGGAGGGAAAGGCCCAAATATCAAGATGGCAAACCACAATCATGAGATCAAAGCCTTTCTCCCTTTTTTATGTATATTGCTGAATGTAACAGTGATTCATTCAACTAGCAAAGTATCCCTATGCTGCTAATGTGAATATTATAACAATAATATTTAATAAAGCCAGATCCTTATTTTAGAATAAGATCTTACATTTTTATAATAATTTAGAATGCAATATGATCATTCATTTGCTGAGCAGTGAATTATTTTTCTTCAGGTAGAAAAAAATTCTTCTAAAATACTTTTAGCAAAATCTTGGTTTCTGTTCTCATTTGATCTTCTCTATGGGGAACTTAATGTGTCACATTTCTAAAACATTTGTAATTAAGGATATTGAAACTCTGTTTTAGCTATTGCAGAAAATCATGCTTTAATTGTGGCAAATAGGTAGGTTTGCTTTTTAAAGTAAAATATTTATGCTTCATTATTACTTTGTCTTTGGAACTCAGCAGTATTCAAAGAGGTCCATAGTATATAAAAAATAACATTGGTTTCACTATAAAATACAACTAGACTGGGGAAATAGTTTTAAATAATAGCAATTATTCAAATATTCAAATCTCTAATAGAATAAATATTTTGAGCTGTTCTTTTAAAAGCATATGTATTCTATAGTTTCCTAAAAGTTGATAGGATGCTTGGTAATTAGATACAGGTTCTTTTTTGTGGTGGCCCCTGGCATAATTTTTTTTCCCCTTTCAGTACCAGACTGAAAGATTTTGGACTTGGAGATTTTTTATTCCATAATTTTTGGCTTTTTTTTTAATGTAGTCAAGCTGTATGGCTTGTTACCTTAGATTAATATTATTTAGCTTTGTATTAATTCAGTCTGAAAAATATTGCCCTGAAAAGTAAAGTATGAATTACCACTCTCCTGAAATCAGTAGTGGGTTTCAAATCCCAGCACTACTGGTACGCTATCGGTAGTGTGAGGATGTGTGCGCTCGCTTTGCAAGAGCATGGCACTTCTGCGCATGTGCAGAGCATTTTGATGACATCTGGGCAGGTGGGGGGAGCTCCCACCACCGCCGCTACCGGTTTGCCTGAACCAGGGTGAACTGGCTGCACTGCCTGAAATCCTTAGAAGAAAACAAGGAAGATTTTCCAGGATGACATTTTTTTGGAGCAGAATAAGTATGAAATATACAAAGATAAAGAAAGAGAAAAAGTTGAAAGAGACTTTAAAAAGGCTTTTTAAGACTTTTTAAAAGACTTTAAAGACTCTGATCAGAATCAGAGCATTGAATGTTACAACCAAATAATCTCTAGAAACTAATTAATGTGCTCAGATAGGCACATTAGGCCTATGATTCTGACAACCAAAGTATGAAAGACAACAGTTAATTTACCTTAATTCACCTTCCTCTGAAATAGATTAATGGTGGGCCATATAATGATGAGAATAATTCTGCTACTCCCCAGAATTCACTGCTTCATTTGCTGAGTGATAAGACTGGCTTGACCATCTAGCTTGTACTGGTCGAGCCCGTAAGAGTCTGATCTCAATTCCCTTTAGCTTCAGTCACAATGTCCTTGGGAAATGCTTTCATTGGGAAACCAGCCCCAGACTTCAAAGTCACAGCAGTAATGCCAGATGGGCAATTCAAAGATATTAAACTTTCTGACTACAAAGGGAAATACGTTGTATTCTTTTCTATCCACTTGATTTCACCTTTGTCTGCCCAACTGAAATTATTTCATTCAGGGACCGTTCTGATGAATTCAAGAAGATAAACTGTGAAGTGATTGGTGCTTCTGTTGATTCTCACTTTTGCCATCTAGCCTGGATCAACACTCCCAAAAAGCAGGGTGGACTAGGCAGTATGCGCATTCCTCTGGTTTCTGACACAAAACGTCTAATTGCTAAGGATTATGGTGTACTAAAGGACAATGTAGGCATTTCTTACAGGGGCCTCTTTATCATTGATGAAAAGGGGATATTGCGCCAAATCACAATCAATGAGCTGCCTGTTGGTCGTTCAGTTGATGAGACACTCAGGCTAATTCAGGCTTTTCAGTTTACAGACAAAAATGGAGAAGTGTGCCCAGCTGGTTGGCAACCTGGAAGTGACACTATCAAGCCAGATGTCAAGCAGAGTAAAGAGTATTTCTCCAAACAGAAATAAATGTATGTTGTATTTTGTACAAAAAAAAGGTATACTGTAACATATGACAGAGCAATCTTTGCCATTTCTTATTTAAAGAGTAGCCATGTTGTGAACTGATTGGTTTACTGCCTCATTTTATAAGTCTTTAATTTTGGATCGTGTGGATCTGAATAAGGGGATTATAGAAAGACAGATTTTAACTATCTAGCCTATTAACCTTGGCCAAAGTAGAGAATTTGGTCCTTGTACTCATGCACATAGCTGACAATTGTTAGCATATTAGTGACTGTCTCTGGTACATGTGGAACAAATGGCTTTTCTTGTATTTTGTACTGTTATTAAACTTTTATGAAAAAAAAAAAAGACTGGCTTGACCACACTTGAACCCTGAATTCAGGAGCAAAGAGAAATCAAAAGCACCCCAAGCCATTCATCTGATCCTTGAAAACGTGCACTCAAGATGTCCAACTTTTGTGTAACTTACACCAACATTCCCTCAGCATCTTCAATTTATTTAGATTCATCTTCTGCTTGATTACCCGCAGTTGTTCTGTGAAAAGCTGCTTCTGATCTTTACAATAGCTAATTAAATCATTGGCTTATTATGACAGATTACAGACATTACACTGTTGACTATTGCAAGTTTGCTTGCTTGGTTACTTGCGGGTAATTGTAAAGCTTTCAATACATCTTTTGCCAGAAATTGTTCAGATGCATAATGCCTAAGGATGTTAAAATGCTAAAGCTATCTTTGAATTGAATTTTGTATCTTTTTCTTTTACTTCCACTTGTATACATAGCTTTATTTTCAATAGTTGTTCCTAAGTAGTTGAAACATTTCCAAATTTGCAATAACCTTAGATTGATGTTCTTTTTTCACCATGAATTATCAAAACATAAAGCATTACCCTTTAGATAATTCCTAACATAGGAAGCCAGAAGCACTTCTGTTTTTTTCTGATGTAGCAAGTAGAAAGGCTGGTTAGGCAGCTGTCTTGTACATTTGCTACTGCTGTGCTGTGTCACTAACAGAAACTGTGCTAATTTACTCTTGCATGTGCTGTGAACTGACCAATCTTATGAGGAACCAATTTTCAAAAGCAAGTTATGAGTCAGGTCTGAAACATGAACATCAAGTAAGATAATTTTAGGATAAACCAGATCCTATCTCATGAGAAGGCTGGGGGGAAAATATCTCCCCTGGATGGACAAAAACAATTGATTGCACCACCAAAGATTTATAAACATTCATTGGACCAGAAGTGAACCAAGAACATAAGCAAACTATGCAGACAATTACTTCTGTAGGAAAACTTATCTAATTTTAGATCTTAGATTTAATGATTCTACAACTCCATTCCTTGTTTGGGAGAGCATTATTGTCTGTGTAATTCCCCCCCCCCCATTTGGTTATGTGCCTTTGGGTTAAAGTTGAGTATTAGAGACCACACCAATAAACTTCTCCAGGATAATCAGTTCCAACCTGGCCCTTCTAATGGTGCACTCATTGTAGCTATAATTGAACCCTTTCGCATTGATGATGGTTGTCTTTTTTTTTTTTCTTGTAGTTTTAGTTTATCTCAATCTCTGGGGCATTTATGAAGTCATTAAAGGTTTTTATTAAAATGGGGGAAATGTACAAACCAAGTACAGAAAACAGCACAATAGAGATAATATAATAAATAACGATAAATAGCAACACAGCATAAGAATGACAATAATCAAGAAACATTCAAAATAGTAACCTTGCAGAAGCACCAAAATAGTTGTTCAAAATGAATGGTGGATAAATAAGGGGGTCACCTGGTACCAAGAATTGGGCAGTGTCCAGGGGTGGGTTCTAAAATTTTTTACTACCGATTCTGTGGGTGTGGCTTATTCTGTGGGCATGGCTTGATGGTCATGTGACAATTATTTAGGATTTAGCAGAGGTACTGGTCTACCAGGCTGTTAACTGCTTGCAGAGCTGTACTGACCTACCCATTTATTTTTGCAGGCACTGGTCTACCCATTTATTTTTGCAGGCACCGGTCTACTCAATTGTTTTCTTTTAACACTGATCAGCTGTAGAGCGGCCCTTTGAAGCCCCACGGCAAGAGTTTAAACAGTTTTTTTCCCTCTAGCCATCAGCTGGGACTCAGGAGGCAGCAATAGATTGGTGGTGGGGCCAAATAAAAAGTAAGAATAATGCGAGGGGGCAGGGGGGGAAGAACCGGTTTGGTGACATCATATCATCACCGCTACTGGCTCAGCGGAACCGGGCCGAACTGGGAGGAATCCGCCACTGGCAGTGTCTCTTATGTCATTTGTGCAACATGCAACAGTATTCCTTTTCTTTCTTCAGCATGTGATTTTTATCATACTTTATTTTGTCTGGTAAAGAAAAAAAAATGATGAATCAAACAACCCAAATGTAGTTTCTAGAAAAGAGACTGCAGCACATGCAATCAAGAAACTTGTGGCTTAAATATATATATATAAAAGCGAAATACCACTCATGCATATCACAAAATCTCCAGAACTGTAAAGTCTACAAACTTGAAATTTGCCATCTCCGTTCCTCTTGGCTTCTAGATGCTCACTCAGAAAGAGTTTTTTTGAAATGACCATCAGAGCATTAGTATGTCCTATATTATTATTAACACGCTCTGATGCTAAGGAGTTCTACTCCCCTTCCCCACCTGAAAAGAAATCTGTTCCAAATGCAAAACACAAGCAGAGGAGAGGAGCTTCAGTTTCAGTTTTACTTTCACAGCAGCAAGTGGGATAGGACAGGGGAGGCTTCTATGGGGCAAGGCTGAGGGAGAGAAGGGGATAGGATAGGAGAGGTCTCTGTGCAGCAAGCCTGAGGGAGACAAGGGGGATAGGATAGAATAGGCTTCTGTGGGGCAAGCCTGAGGGAAAGAAGGGGAGAGGAGAGGGCAATCGTAATTACTCGTTAATTTTCAAGCTGTAAATGTCGATTTATCAAGCCCAATCACATAGTTTCATAGCAGAGCATGGGTATTCAGCTAGTATCTAAACAATCCTGTCCCCAAATTGTAATGTTTTTCTCTATCTGACCATGGTCATTTCTACAGCTTTTGGGTGTAAATATGGGAATGTGCTTGGATTTCCTTCCACTGTCTTTGCTAAACACATTAAAAGAAGAAGAAAAAGCTACTGTGACAAGCAATGTGCATGTGAATTTTCTGAGCATAACCATAGCAGCAAACATGATATTAGCTCTGTTTACTACAGTCCCCATAATTTGCCACCCCAGGGAACTGAGGTATGAGTTCCTGAAATCCTTCATTAGGCTCCTTGTTGAATCAACTTCCAATAAACCATGTTGTGAAGTTATGGTGCATCATTCTTGGCTAGGGTCATGAGACTCCAGTATCCCCAATTCATAAGGAATTGGATTGTAATTATTTTATAAAAGAGCAGTCCTCTGCAGAAGAAATCTCTCTCTATCCCAGAGGCAGTGGTGGGTTCCTCCGGGTTAGGTCCGGTTCGGCCGAGCCGGTAGCGGTAACGATATGATGTCACCAAACTGGTTCTCCCCCCCCACCCGCCCACGTTATTCTTATCTATTATTTGGTCCCACCCCCAATCTATTGCTGCCTCCTGAGTCCCAGCTGATGACTAGAGGGAAAAAAACTGTTTAAACTCTTGCTGTGGGGCTTCAAAGGGCCACCCTACAGCTGATCAGTGTTAAAAGCAAACAAATGAGTTGGGTCGTAAGTGCGAGGACTGGTCGTAAGTGCGAGGACCTTCCAGAAATGACTCTGACCAGCTAGCCATGCCCACCTAGTCACATGACCTCCAAGCCACACCCACAAAATAAGCCACACCCACTGAACCGGTAGTAAAAAAATTTAGAATCCACCCCTGCCCAGAGGATATACTGTATTCCCTTGACAAGGATCAAAAAAGCAAAATACCTTTTGTACAGGTATACAGGTTCCTTTCCTCCTTAAGGCAAAGGAGCTCAATTAGTTGAGATAGCAACATCTTAAGAAACACATTTAATTAGTCTAGTGTAGAATGATGATAGTCTGTGTCTTCTTGTCCCAGGTAGCCAGAGTTTGCTCCACTATTTCCAAATTCTCATTTCATCTTTTGTGTCATGATTTGGAAAGATGGAAGGGAAACTATGACCTGGATGAGCACTAAAGTAACTACAAGTCAACACCAACATGTGCAGATGACACTCAAGATTCACTGGCCATGTGTTCAGTAACATAGCCACACTTCCTTTACATACTCAGCTGGCCATGCTGCTCTGAAGCTGAAGGCTGTTTGCACAAGTGTGTCCTGGGTGATACAAAAACAACCTAGCTCAGGAACTACTCAAGCTCAAGAGTCATATTCTGGAATAACCACAAGGAAAAGCATTTCAGATAGTTGCATTTTAAGGATTTGGTTGGAGAATCCTGTCTGCTAGCCAAAGGAATTTGTAAAGGTGGATCGATGCATAGTCTGAATGTGGGAAAATCTATGCGAATAACGTAGTCCTTGACTTACAACTGTAACTGAGCCTGCCTGTTATGGTCATAAATTGTGACTGTCATAAAGTGGGTCATCACATGTTTGAACCCAATTTTACAATCTTTTTTGTGGCAGTTGTTAAGAGAATGTGGCGGTCATAAAGCAAATGTGGCAGTTGTTAAGAAAACCCATTGGGTGGGGAGTTTTGGAAACCTGAAGAAAATGCAGGTTTCCAAAGGAAAAATGTCATAAATTCCAGTCATATGACAGCAGAGTCTTCAAACAGCTGTAAATGTTGGTTGGTTGCCAAGTGCTCAAAGTGTGATCATGTAATGCAGTGGTGGGTTTCAATTTTTTTTACTACCGGTTCTGTGGGCATGGCTTGGTAAACGTGGCATTGCTTGGTGGGCGTGGCTTGGTGGGCGTGGTAAGGGAAGGATATTGTAAAATCTCCATTCCCACCCAACTCCAGGGAAGGTTACTGCAAAATCCCCATTTCCTCCTGATCAGCTGGGACTTGGGAGATAGAGAATAGATAGGGGCGGAGCCAGTCAGCATTTTTACTACCGGTTCTCCAAACTACTCAAAATTTCCACTACCGGTTCTCCAGAACTGATCAGAACCTGCTGAAACACACCTCTGATGTAATGAGACAGGTGTTTGTGTGTGTGTGTGTGTGTGTGTGTGGTAGGGGCGCAAACATTGTAAC